CAATGAGTGATAATCAATGCGTGATTAATCAATGAGTGATTTTACGATTTTAATCAATGAGTGATAATCAATGAGTGATTAATCAATGAGTGATTTTACGATTTTAATCAATGAGTGATTAATCAATGAGTGTTTAATCAATGAGTGATTATTCAATGAGTGATTAAACCAATGAGTGACTAATCAATGAGTGACTAATCAATGAGTGACTAATCAATGAGTAATTAATCAACGAATGACTAGTCAATGAGTGAATAATCAATGAGTGATTAATCAATGAGTGATAATCAATGAGTGATTTTACGATTTTAATCAATGAGTGATTAATCAATGAGTGATCAATCAATGAGTGATTTTACGATTTTAATCAATGAGTGATTAATCGATGAGTGATTAATATATGAGTGATTTATCTATGTGTGATTAATCTATGAGTGATAAATCAACGAGTGATTAATCAATGAGTGATTTTACGATTTTGTTCAATAAGTGATTAATCAATGAGTGTTTAATCAATGAGTGATTAATCGATGAGTGAATAATAGATGAGTGATTAATCTATGAGCGATTAATCAATGAGTATATTAACCCAACACTGATCTATTCTGCATCGGTGCGCAATAGTTTTTCTAGCTTTACTACTAGAATATCCATTAATTTGATCTTTTATTTTATTTGGTATATGCTTATCTGTTGTCTGTGAATTAAAATACGATTTTTAAATAAAGTGTGATGGCACGGGATATTTTAAGTAGTTCAATCTATCCAATCTATCCTGTTTGTTCGAGACGTGGAGCGAACAACATCATGAATGTCACGGCATGAAACATCGGTTTTGTCACCTCAGCCGCTGACGGAAGGTAATGCCGGGAAGTGACTGGACTCTTATGCTCTACTCACTGAACACCTACACTCACAAACTTAAAATGTCTGATGTAAAAGAATAACTTTTAAAAGAAACGGTCTTGCCGGGAGAGCGTGTTTATCGAAACCAGAGGTACTACAGGGCGATTCCAGAGGTTTCCCCGTGTTTACACTATGAATTAAATTCTTTACAAAACGACACCGTATCACATGGGTTGCTAGCTGTACGGCTAGAACGATCGATCAGTCAAATTGTTTACTTTTGATCACTAATATTAATTTCCTTCTTACAGCATAACACTTTCCAAGTGAAGAAACCGCTTCTTCCAGTATCAGTCATCCCTTATCAGTCAAAAATTTATTGCTTTGCTGAAAGTATTCTATGGACGGAATGCATTCCGATATTGAATTTAAATCATTTAATGAGGTTTAATTCTATGCTATCTTATATTTATATTTTTGTCAGAATTTGTGGTTTGAATGTTTAGATCCTGGAGCCACGAATGTATATATTGGAGTTGTTCGAGCGATATATTCTTCGCGGGGGAATAGAAAGAAGTTGGAGGAAAGAGATTACTGAATTGGATCAAAATTTAAATTTTATTGTGCAATTGGTATATATAACTTGACATCATAATTTTTTTTCATGCCATGAAACGAAATCTAATGGAATGACAGTACCGATGATTAAGATATTTTTCGATTATCCAGGAAAAAATAATAATAGTATTATAGGTAATTTACATATTATAATTTGCAAATATTATTATATTTAACCTCAAAAATTTCCGAAACTATTAAAATGTAAATATTAACATAACACAAAAAGTTTCAGCAGGTTTGCACACTTCGTGTGATACATTGAATCAAGCTACACACATCAACACCCTTACATCTTATCAGCATTGTTATTCGTTTGAAAAATTGGACCACGTAACTATAGCAACTAAGAAAATTGTTCTGACATCAGTTGAAGTATAGTAGCATCGTCATTTTAAAACTTTATTTTATTGCAATTATATAGCTTAACTATGTGACATTCGAATTGTGCTGTGCCTGTTGCTAAACTGTGACCAGTACAGAGGAACTGTCAGCAACTTACCACACGAAATGACTTTTGCATTTTTCCACTCAAAGTACAGTGCAATTTGATTAGTACGCTACTTATAGCTAAGTACTTTAACAGTGTAGGGCTGGTAATATGTTTTCTGCATGAATAAAAATATGTGCATCAAAATCCTTGGTACGTAGACAATGGTGCAGTTGTAGTAGAAAGTTAATTCGACACGCTGGCTCGAACAATGCTTGAAGGAAACGCCAGTGCAAATTGGTGCACGGAAGCTGTGCGTGTGAAGCAAATTACACTAAAAGTCGACGAAAACCGAGTTTGTCGTGAAGTTCCGCACATGTTGACGTGTTGAACCTCTTTCCTTCTCTAGTATTGGTAGCAAAGAACATGAAGCTCCGTTGTGTGCCGCACATGTTGACCTGTTGAACCTCTTTTACTTCTCTAGTATTGGTAGCAAAGAACATGAAGCTTCGTTTTGTTACACGGATACTCCTGGAGGGTGAGGCCGTTCGTCGGGGTGATGATACTGCAAGTGTCATAGAAGGAGGGTACGAAGAAGCGGCGAAGCACGTGGCGGTCGTCAACGTTCATCCAAGTTCCAGTCCAGGCGTTGGATTTCCACGTATAGTTCCAGCCGAAGAAACTTATGAGAGGGAGGAAGCCTCCGGGGTTTGCCGCAGTAGCTGGGCCTTGATAATAATTGTTGATTGATTGAAAATTAAAATATTATCGTATACGAGATATTAACATTATCAGGATAATTTATCAAATTTTATTTGGATTGCAATCCACTTTCAGAATTAATGTTAAAAGATGGAACTCGCGCCACAAACCTTTTATGACGTTATCTCTGATGTATTCGTAGTCCTGCAGGGTGTGCACCAGCCCGGGCAGCCCTGCGTCCTTACCACACAGAGTCGTGAAGTTGTCGTGGGTCCCGTACCCGGCATCAGAGCTCAAGAAGTATTTTTTCGGCTTCCCTGAAGATCACAGATAATACAAATCATAACCCCTATAGTTAATAGTGATACATGATACATGCCAGTGATACATGATACATAATAACGTAATCTTTTTGGAAATGGACTTACTTTCTTTGAAGTAAGTTTCAGGTCCGTAGCCGGCCCATTGCAGAATGGTGCCGGGCTGTGGGTAGCGCGTGAGGGTGCAGTTGATGAGATTCCCCTTGTCCGAGGGCCACTCCGTCCAGCCCGTGCACTCGGGGTCATCCACACACCTGCGCCGGCACTCACCTTAGCCCAGCGAGAATGCAAACAATTACAGTTAATCGTCTAATACTACACCGTATACATTGCATATTCACCTCATTCTTATTTTGGTAAAAAATGCATTTATTCAACATTTTTTTACGTACAGTTTTGTCCGGAATTCGCTACAAGATGAACACACTGACGAAAGACATTATGGTTATGCGATCGTACGTTTGTTCAAACCTATTTCGTCTATTATCCTAGCACATTATATTATTTTTTATTTGTTGACAAAATATTCTTTTATATATGTAACCGGAAACACCGCCGCGAAGTCGAAATAGTTACAGGTAGCGTGCCGACTTGACGGTGAATTGCGTATCGGTTTTAACACAAGGGCTAAAGAGTCGCTCTTTGGTCCGGCTCTAAATTCCCTTGCGTTGGAGAGAGGAGGAATAAACACGAGGAACTTTTCCTAATATACTGGTGATCTTCGGGCGATACACAATTTCTCTGTACAAGGCACACAATTTATTAGGTCCAAAAGCTCCGGAAACAGGGTCTTAGTCTCAGGGATACAACGTCGTGGAATCCCAACAAACCACCGAGGACCACAAAAGCGGACAGCAAGGATACGGGAATGAGCCGCATCACAAAACTGACGACCTCACAGGAATAGACAACAAGGATACGGGTACGAGCCGCACCACACAACTGACAACCTCACAGGAGCGGACAGCAAGGATATAGGTACGAGCCGCTCCACAAAACTGACAACCTTACAGGAGTGGACAGCAAGGATACGGGTACGAGCCGCACCACAAAACTGACAACCTTACAGTAGTGGACAGCAAGGATACGGGTACGAGCCGCACCACAAGACTGACAACCTTACAAGAGTGGACAGCAAGGATACAGGTACGAGCCGCACCACAAAACTGACGATCTTACAGGAGTGGACAGCAAGGATACGGGTACGAGCCGCACCACAAAACTGACAACCTCNGCAAGAATACGGGTACGAGCCGCACCACACAACTGACGACCTTACAGGAGTGGACAGCAAGGATACGGGTACGAGCCGCACCACAAAACTGACAACCTCTCAGGAACGTACAGCAAGGATACTGGTACGAGCCGCACCACAAACTGACGACCTTACAGGAGTGGACAGCAAGGATACGGGTACGAGCCGCACCACTAAACTGATGACCAACGCAATGGTCAGGGGTTCGAGCCCTAATGCACTGCCAACACAGAAACGGGGTGGCAGTTACGCCTCAAAAGCACGACTATTGAAGGGTACGAGCCCCCAACAAGCCGCTGACAATTTACTCGAGCGCAGAGGTTATTAGCCTCTACGACACGAGGGTGCGAATTGAACGGCTGTTAACCGCCCAACGCAGCCAAAATCTGGAATTATCCAAGAACTCTACCTATGCCGTTATTAGTCTGTTAGAGGAACTCATTAAGAGTTATGCCCAGAACTACGGTGGAGTTTATTCTTGGAAGCCCAAATTTGGCTCTGCCTGTTTCGAGTCGAAACCGTGTTACCCCAACCCAGTAACACTGAGCACACACAACTTCTGAGCACACGCAACAAGGGGGTAACTCAGCCAAAATGAGCCTACCTCAACATCCCGTTTACAATGTACAAAACAGACCGTAAACACTTTCTCAGTGCAAAAAATAGGTAATATAATATAATACAATAAAGTCAACATATTTTTAATCATTTGGCAAACTAATCACCGTTAAAAGTCGAATAATCTTGAACTAATTCCAAAGTGATCAAACTCTCCATCGTTCAAGACTATCTAGCGCGCACCGTCGCCAGATCAGGAGCAGCTCAACCAATCACGTTGGAGCTACACCTTCAGTCTCGTCCCACGACACTAACTTAATCCTACAAACACCAGAGCTAGGCGAGATTCCATATTACAGTCATGAAATAAATATTTGTTTACGCATTGCTTAGTCATAAATAAATTAAACCCTTGAGTTAACAAAATAATATCACAGTTAAAATAGATTCCATATTACAGACATAAAATAAATGTTACCAACCATTGACTAGTCACTAATCTAGCATAGGATTAATAGAACGTATAGTTAAATAAAAAAATATGCCACGAAAAAAGCATCCCGTCATATACAGTATATATATTATAACACTCACTTAAACAGGAAGCGACGAAAGATTCATTTGCGTAATCAAATGGAATTTTGAAGTATGGGTAGAAGATGATGTCATAACGAGCCATGGCCGCCGCTGCGAGAGTCACACCGAACACCGACATCAAGATCGATACCAGAATCTCCATGCTTCACAATCCTTCTAGAAATTTTAATGTAAATGTCAAATTAATTTATCCCACCTGCCGGAATTGAACAATCTGCTCGACTCAGTCGTTTTTCGAGTGACAAAATACCTGAAACTCAAAAAGTTATTTAAGTCAAGAAAATAAACATTATTAATTAACATATAAAGAATAGAAATGGAATGTCAGTAATTTTCAGCTTTTGTGAAGCAATTTTTGTATCCGTTTGCGATATTGATGTACATAGTGAAAAAAATGGTTAGAATGACCTAGCCTCCTGCCTACAGCTACAGCGCTGAACTACGAATAGTTCTGATGGTAACCCAAGACTTGAAGCCCCAGGCGATCTATACAACTTTGGCCCAATAAATGCATGCTGCCGCGATGAAAAAGCGCAAATGTATGACCACTTAGCATAGTAAGTTCATTTTTATCGCTGGTGATTGACATTGACCTGCCGTTTTCATGGTGACGTCGAATAACAAACGAACTTGAACTTGTGAGCTCCGACCTCCACGAAAAATAATTTGTTCACATTAAACTGTGTAAGTTCTCATACTAATGACTCAGTTTCTTGGAATGGTTTTCAATTGCCACTATTAACAGAAATTTTCGGAAAAAATAATGAAAATTTTCTGCGACAAGACAAACATTTCAGTGTATGTTATGAATAAAATTAAAAATTACGACAAAAATTCAAATTTTCAAGATAATTTCATGATGCCTGTCAGATAGAATGAGAACTTGTTACATTTCAACGACAGTCATTTCAAAAGTGAAATATTCGGCGTTCAATCGTTAATCTAATATACCTTTTATTGCCAAATCTGCACTTCATTCTAATTCTTTTATTTTCTATTTAATTGAAAACCCATTTTAGAGGATTTGCAACCAACTCGAAATTATTGTTCCCTACGTGACAATTAATTCATAAATCGTTCTTAATTTAATAAATACTATTCTTACATGATTTCTCATAATTTATAGCTTGAATTGAATATATTATTCAATCAATTATTTTCATTTTAAAATTTAAACTCACTTGTTAAATTATTATTTCATTATATTATTATTATATTAGTTACTCCGCATAAAACTGGTTAGAAATTCCTTGTCATGTATTTCTCATCACGTCAGCACAGCGACAAACAAACTATGAACATAATGGTAAAGTTTAAATCATCTGACAGTTTTATAAAAAACCGACTTGAACCAACCAGTATCAGTCCAGAATTAATTTTCAGATGAGAAATCGCGATAGAAAATCAACAATGTGCCAGTTAAACATGACTTATGAGGTCAGTAGTTTTGACGTTTAGCCAGACCCTGCAAAAATATTTAACGAGAACCAGCACCACATATCGTTTTCAAATGACGAGGCTGGAAAATGTTAGCCTCTTTTATTATCTTGAGCGCATATGATTTGGAATGGATTCTTGTACCTTCAAATTACCGGTTCCGACTCTTCTGCAGTGGCTAAAAATTGAGGTTCATTATCTTAAAATGGTGTATGATAGTCGTGGCAATATGATGTTCGATATGAAGCTCTGCAGTTCGGTACTCAACCTTCTGATGAGAAATAATCACCAAATTAGTACTTTCTTGCACAGACTTTGGATATAAATTGAGGTTCTGATTAATCTCTTCAGTAAGCATTAATCATGTCAATCATTTATGCTGCACAGATATTTTGGTAATTTATATTATCGATCTGATTGCATAATAAATTATTTTATTCGCAGCTCGTCCTTTTCTGGGCTTAATTCCTCAGAGAAAGGAAAAAATTATTTATATATTGTATTTCATGATGATGCTATCCTTTAAAACTTTTAAGATTACTTAAAACGTGTGACTTTCTTGAATAAATATATATTAAGGTTAGCCATTCTTCTCTTGAAAAGCCAATCTGGTATTGAGTTCCCTACTAGACGTCGTTGGAATAGAACGTTCGTGTCGCGGCCGGCTCTCAGTGAAGTAAAAGTTGACGATTATTTTCTTTGATTACCAGTTGTTAATTAAGTAGACAGACTGGGCCTGAGAGATGAAATTCAGTATTTCGGCGGATAATATGGGAAGTCAGTAAAGAAGAATAAATTGTTCAGTGTGAAAGTATTCAGAAAATTACATACTTTTTTATATATGAAAAAGACCCGAAAAAAAATAATATTAACAGATCCGTAGAATGAAATTATAGCATTCAATACGTGAAGCAGCAAAGTGTTTACATTAAGTGTCAAGTGTTTTGCATTAAACCACTGAAACAAATAAGCGTGTTGAGTTGTAGTAAGAGAGGGAAGAAGTAAGTGTGCTTGAGGCGAAGGTATTTATTGCTTACTTCCTGCCGAGCCTACAGCGCGGTCTGGGAGCCGAGCGTTACAAGCCCAGGGTTCTTGCGGTCAGAATCATAGCTCGGTGTTCTCTACAGTGAACCGAATCGAACAAATTATTCAGCGTGATATTATCAAATATTCGGTGTGGTATTTTCAAATATTCAGTGTAATATTTTTAAATGTTTAGTATGAATATTTGAAAAATATTCGAATTTGATTTGAATTTGTTGAAATTCTGATTGAATTATTTGATTTTTTTAAATATTCAGTGTAAATACCGGAAAATCTTATGGTCAGTGTCATAGCCCAGTGTTAAAATCCAGTGAACCAAATTGAATAAAATATTCAGCCGATATTTTCAAATATTTAGGGTAGTATTCCAAATATTCATTGTGATATTTTCAATATTCGGCGTAGTTTTCTGCAAGTATTCATTGCAGTGCTTTCAATCATTCAGTGTATTGTTTTCAAATATTCGGTGTTGTATTTTCAAACGTTCAGTGTAAATATTTATTCAAAATATTCAGTGTAATAGCAAAACATAAAAAACTGGTAAGATGGCTAAAGGTCTTGTTATGCAACCAACTATCGGGAGTTTGTGCTCAATTTGCAAGGAGCTCTGTGATGAGACACTTGTACTTCAGTGCAGCAAATGTCAGTCATTCATTCACTTAAAATGTAGTGATTTGCCGGTATATTGTCTCGTTAGGCTCGATCAATCCAGAGTTTCTTATGATTGTAGGAGCTGTGTTATGAGTATTTACAAGAACTTCAAACAAATCGAAAGTAAAATTAATGCAGCCATGAAAGAAAAACCTAAAATGGTGGGTAACGTGCTCGGAGGTGCTGGCCACCACTCCCTTGCAGCTAACTGTACCCTTGCTTCTTCCCCTACGCCCTCCCCACCTCTTCCCTCATTCCTAACCCTACACCTACTTCCAGCTTTACCCTTGCCCTCAGCCCTTCCAGTGCCCCAACTTCTGATCCTACCGACACACCTTCTTCTCAATTAGGCCCAAACACTAGGCCTACATACACTCAGGCTACCGCACAAACCCTGGAGAATGGCGTCTTAGAAGATGGATTGCCATCATCCCTTCTAGCTTTTCAAACCCTTTCAACACTACCACACCTACCAAGCTGTTCTCAGTAATGGTTCGAAGTTGAGTTGCCCAAGGACCAATAACAACGGCACAAAACGGTTTGAATTCTTACTTCCAACTATTACAGCTGAACAGGTATCAGATAATCTCGTAGATTGATGATTTGCAATTAGATGAAAAATAAATCAATGATATGAATCAATGAATTCATTGACCCACAAGCGAAGTTTTCATCTCGATTTTCACTTATAAAAGACTTTTTACCTACAAAATACAGCCTCAAATTGTCGAGGCTGTCGCAATTACAGTGCAATGTATCAAAAGGTAATTTAACAGTTTTCTTAAACATTGTTGCTCAAATGAGATCACATTCTTCGTCGTGACCTGCAATTTCAAACGACATTTTTACTTAAAAATAACAATTCATTTCAGGAGCCGCCGGTTCTACTCAAGGGATTAACGTCATACTCACGATTGAGTTCAACTCCAAAGCTGCTCAGGTCACGATTTGTGAAGGACGAATCTCACGTGAAGCCATCTTCTTCCTGTTCTTATTAAAGAACAATTTGGAAACGTCTTGGTAAATTGGCAACATGTTTAGATAATGTTGCTAGGTTCACCAAGAATTTAATTCTAAACTGTATGGCCTGTTCTCCAATCAGACAATCAGGAAACAAGCCATATTAGGTCCTAATGGCAACTGAAACAAGTAGGGTAACATGGGGCAGCGAGCCCACTGCGGGTCACGGGCCCATAGCGGGTTTCTCGCTAAGTATGGCAGATATTGGTCCGTGTTCTCTACCGCCGGTCGACAGTTTCACTGGGATGAAGTGTACGGATTTACGTTTTGCTAAGTGTTTGCGTTATTAAGATATTTGCGGAGAACTGTTTCAGCCCAGATAAAGTTTTTTTTTGCTGCAAAATAAAACTGTTATCGATTACTGTAGATGAAGCTTTTGAAATTACTGTGAATTATATTTTGAAAGTAATATCTATAGGGATAATTTAGAGATCAAGTTTAGACTATTCGCTTTTAAAATAAAATGTTGACACGATATAAATTGAAAGGATACCTAGTGGGGGCAACGGGCCCACGCGTGTCACGGGGCAAAGCGCCCATGGTGAAGTCTTGTGTTATACATCATTAGATTTGTACCTTTTCGAAACTATGACTAGCTTTTTGAATTACAAATTACACTTCATAGTGCATGATTTTTTTATTTGCCGCCTCAAGGTAGCAGGTTTAGTTTCTAGTTATGCGTATTTATGACCCCCTTATCGAGTTATTGACTCTTGCCTTGCCAAAAATTGATGTCAGTCAACACCAATGAGCCAGAAGTCGATGAGTTTTTATGGTGTTAGCTGAAATCGCGATCAGGTACGAATTATCTGCACATAATATCTGGATTATGGGCAAAACTGGAAGGAAGTTTTATTCTGATCAACTAAATATATTTTTTCTAGTCAAGAATACATTTTTTCATGTCAGGACGAATTTTTATCGCAAGGATATATTTTTCAAGTCAAGGATATATATTTTTATGTCAATGAAATATTTTTCTCCACGTCAGTGATAGATTTTTTTAAGCCAAGGGTATATTTTTTTCATGTTAAGGATATGATATTTTGAATTGTTAGTAAATGAATGAATGTCA